GTGGCGATGATCAGACTTGCGCCGGCTTTTGTGGTGGTGGCGGCGACTGCTGTGAGGTGGGTGTGGGGAAGGTGGTGGCGGTGCTGGTGAAGCGGCGCTGTCTGGCTTGTCCGTTGCAGGTTGTGAAGGTGCAGTTGCTGGTGGGGCTGATGCAATGGATGGTGATGGAGATGGTTGGGAGCCAGTGGCTGAAGTGGTGACGTTTTGGACCGGTGCTGTAGGGTCCGATGGTGCCGGTTGTGGGAGTGAGGGTTGAGCTGGTGGTGATTCGCCGATGGCTAGTGGAGGCGGCGGCGGAGGCAAAGGTTGAGGTGAAGGTTGTGTGACCGGGGTAAGGTTGCCAAACTCCCTGGGGCATAGTCCGCTGCGGGTCTGTGGGTGGATGATGAGCTATTGTTGCTTGTTGTGGTGCTGGAGGTGACTGGATCGGCGTAGTGGTGGTAGGTTCGGTAGGTGGTGTGTGATGTAATTGTGGCAACATGTGAGAAGGGGGAGGTGTTGTAGATGGAAAAACTGGGGTTGGGTGTGTGGGTTGTGGTGGCGGCTGAGATGGTTGCACAATCGTCCAGGCTGAGGGAGTGCCGTAGGACAGCGCAGTAGGAGTTGGAATAGGCATGGTAGGTGGAGCCTGATAGGGTTGTGGTTGTGGATAAGGAAATGCCGATGGATGTGGTGATGGAAAAGTGGGTGCGGTTTGTGGCTGCGGCAGCGGCAATGTGGGCTGAGGTTGCGTGGTGGGTAGTGGTGGTGGTGTGGCGTGAGCATATGGTGAGGGAAAATGCATGACGTAGTCGAACGTGTCGGTGGTGAAATGCAGCGCTGTGTGGTAAAGGCTTCGCAATGGCACGGCGCGGCGCAGCAGCAATGGTGCAGCTGAGATTGCAAAATTGTATGTCATGGTGATGTTGAAAGTCACGTTGCTCGTGTTGAAAGGAAGTATGCTGTGAAGCTGAGCTGGGTGTGATATGTGAACTTGTTGTCAAGTGTGGTCATGCATCTCGAATTAGATTTGAGAACTCCAGTATGCAAGCTTGAGTTCTGCTGACGAAAAGGTCACGGCGCAAGTCAAAAAGTACAACATGTGAGGTCATGCAGAAACCTACGCGCAAGACTGGTCAGAAAGTCGGTGGAAGAGGAAGCTGCCGTGTTGGGCCCGGCGGCCAATGCATCAGTTGATTCTATGGGTGTGGCCGTGACTTCCAGTGGGGATCCAGTGAAAAGTGGCACGTTGGGGTGGTTGAATTCCGATGCAAAAACAGCGCCCCAGTGACGGGGATCACACTCAGCACCCGAGTGGGACGGCTGAGCGAAACACACTCTGACATTGGTTTTCAGTGACTCAGTTACCACGTTGGGAAGGAAGGTGACAGAACCGCATGGTGAAAGGTCCGAAAACTTGTAGGTGTTTCAAAAATCATTGTTGAAGTCTGCAGTGAAGGATCAGTCACTCGGTCGGCGCAGCGCGGCTGACGATCGGCGGTTGGAAGCAGCTGTGGGAAACCTGTTTGAGGGGAGAGTATCGTGATCAACAACCATGGCATCAAAACACAGCAAGGAAGAGTGGAGTAGTGTCACGGCGCAGGTACGTCATCAGGCGTCCCTGATGATATCCTAGGAGCACGTGAGGAGCTTCGTTGGATGGAGCCTCACGTGTCCTCTCCATCCCCCTGCATGTGAATCACGGGTGGAAAAGGTGATCGGTGGATCAGTTGGACGAAACCCTTTGTCCAGGGGTGGACACACACACACTTGCTCAGAGTCCATTGCACGCACCCATTTGCAGTTCAAGTCTATTTCAGATGCCATATGCCATATGCCAAACTGGTCGATTTCCAAACCTACTACAAGTGAAAAACCGACAGCCATGCTGACTCTGTCGCCCCGTGCTCTTAAGGCGCTGATCGGATTGTTCCTGGTTGACAGAAGGTGACACACACAGTACACTAATATTCATGCGCCTTGTGTTAGCATGTCGCTGATGTTGTGACATGCAGTGGTCCCTGATAATCACAATCACAACTGCCTGGTAGTGCGCTGGAACCCTTTCGCAAAGACCTGCGTGAAGTGTTGTTAAGGCATTCACCAAAACATAATGCGTCTACGTCCGTAAGAGGCAAAGCACACACACACCATCCAAAGGAGCATGCTACTGTGACCGTACAAAACGCATGATCACACATGCTCACACACATGCTCACGTAGAACGCCGCACCTGAGAAGGGAGGGGGGGGATGCCAGCCCTTCAAGCAGACCGCAAACATAGTTTTTCAACGTATTTTTTGACAGTTACTTGCGGGGACCTAGCTAGATCCCACAAGATAGCACTCCTTTGCTGGTGCCCATTTTTCTTCCCCAAAACCATGACAAAACGATCAACAGGGGCACCACCAGTGGACCACACATGCCCTTCAAACAGACCGCCAAGCTAGATCCCGGAAGATCGCACTCCTTTGCTGGCGCCCTTCTTGTCTTCCCCAGAGCCAGGCAGTCGTACTGTGCTCGCTGGTTTGATCTCTGGGGCTGTAAAATCCTGAAAAATGGTCGAAGTGTAGGATGAGTGGATTGAGTGATTGATCATCCACCTAGGTTCCCCTAGACTACCGCAAGCTACCGTAATCTATATAAGAGTCATGATGTTGGGGGTCCCTTTCGAGCGCGAAAAAACATTACACCAGCATCGAGCCCGAGCAGCAGCGGCAAATTAATGTTTCTTTTGCCAGCAAACCTTAGAAGCGGTTGCCGCCAGTCCAGAGGGCCGGTAGACCGAAGGAGACAAAAGGGAAGAGAATTCATCTTCGCCCAGGATCCTTTCCATGTAAGAATGGGGTACCCCTTACAGCAAAGCTGTCTGGGGAATCGTCTCAGCCGAGCATCCAGACATGCCACAGGAGAGAATGGGAGACAGGGGGAGACAAAGAGAGACAAAGCAAAATCATCTCAGCCCAGCATCCAGACATCCGATGAGACAAGGGGAGACAAGGAGAGACAAAGCAAAGTGATCTCAGCCCAGCATCCAAACATGCCGCATGGGAGACAAGGGGAGACAAAGAGATACAAAGCAAGACAAAGCAAAATCATCTCAGCCCAGCATCCAGACATGCCATGAGAGACAAGGCCAGACAAAGCAAATCATCTGAGCCCAGCATCCAGCCAGATCCGCCATCACCTTCAGCGGCTGAACCGCCACAGGCTTCCCACCTGACATGCCATGGGAGACAAGGGGAGACAAAGGGAAACAAAGCCAAATCATCTCAGCCCAGCATCCAGACATGCCATGGAGACAAGGGGAGACAAGGAGAGACAAAGCAAAGTGATCCCAGCCCAGCATGCAGACACGTGATGGGAGACAAAGGGAGACAAAGGGAGACGAAGGGAGACGAAGCATGGGAGACAATGGCATGCTGGACGCTGGGCTGAGATGATTTTGCTTTGTCTCCCTTTGCCCCTGTCTCCCATGAGATGATTTTGCTTTGTCTCCCTTCGTCTCCGCTTGTCTCTTAAGCCCAGCATCCAGACACGCCATGGGAGACAAGGGGAGCAAAGGGCGGGAATCATCTTGGCCCAGCATCGTTTCTATGCAAGAATTGAGAACCCGCACAGCAAAGCTGTTTGTGGAGAAAAAGCCGGAAAAAGAGTGAAGAGGGCACCCCCTAGAACGGTGAGTGTCTAAGGGAATCGGAAGTGAGACTCTCTGCTTGTACAAGAGCGTGGGACTCAACGAAGCAGAATGTGGGCAGTCCCCGACCCATCAGCCATTTTCTCCACCTCATACACACATACTATTATTAGCAAACACCTTGTGTATGGGCGTAATATAGACCCCAATGTGAAAGTTTGCGCGTCTCTGCCTTCTTTCTGCCCGGGCAAAAAGCATAAACAAGCCATTTGAGCTGCTCCAGTCATGGTCCCAGCGCGAATGCTCAGACTCAGCTCTTTTTCATTGAGTCCCTTGCTATCTTTACAGCTGATGGCATTCATTTTGCTGGGGAAGAAGCCTACACACACTGTCTGGCCACTTTGTGATGCCAATGATGCACTATTCAACCTTATTGGCATCACTCGCGTCACCAAGGCCCTCAAAAACCTTACTTACATTTCGACTACACCCATCAAGCACTCCAGCCTAGCCTATCGGCTGGCTTTCGTAAAACATCCTTTGGCCGCTTTGGTCCTTTCAGGTCTCTTTTGGGTTAGTTAGAATATATAAAGCATCGTTTCTTCATACATCAAGACCAAAAGCCAACACACAAGAAGCGCAGCGCTCTTTTGCTTGTTGGTTCGCTTTTCCTCCAGTGGTTTGTGAGAAAACTAAGTCCTGTCAGACAGGGAGGGTACCCAAAACCGCCACCGCTCAAAGGCCTCCGCCTTGATTGCCGCTCTGAGGGCGTCTCCACAGCCACTGGGGCGGGGGACCAAGCTCTGGCCCAAGTCACCCACCTGGATCTGTCATGACACTGGACCTTAGCAGATTGGCCTCCGTCAGAGAGGGATAGGCATTGGCCAGGCGGCCTGTCCGGCAGCCCGGGCAGTAGAGGTCATAGTCCGTGGAGCCAGGATCCACCAAACAGATTTCCTTCTCACGCTCCTCGACTTCGGAGGGGTCACCGTGGGGGCATCCTGCAGCAACTCCCGATCGGGGATTACACGGCGCCAAGGAACGAGGGATAGAAAACAGGGAGCGCAATTTCACTTCAATGCAGGCAAGGTCTTGAGCCGGAATGGCCATGCATTTTGGCTAGTGAAATGTATCGAAGAAACATAACCTGCTTTCCACAGGTTCCAAGCACGTACTAATTGTTCGACTCTGACTTTCGTGCAAATAGATAGGATTTGCACAATTCTGCTTTCGCAAACTCACTGAAGTGCCATCAGCTCATGTCTGTTTTCGAGGTGGTTGCTTTCTGAATGCGGCAACTCTTGCTGGTAGCTTGTATTGACCTGTCCTGATCTGACCAGGGGCAAGCACAATTGCATCTGGCAACATGAAAAGTGCGTCCCGCCTTCCAAGGCAGGTAAAGGAGCTGGATCGACAAGTATGACAGCCACACACAAATCATTAAGGCGAGGTTGACGCCAGGTAGATCCGTTGCCACCACTGTGGGTAGGGAGATAAGGGGACCACGAAGCAATATAATCAAGCCAAACCACCATGCGCCTGGCTTGAAGTTGGCAATCAAGAAGTGAACACTGGTGAGGCGATGTCGCGATGTGGTCGACCATGCAGGTGCCTTCTTGATGGCCCAGGAACAAGCAGCAAAGTGTGTGAGGCCCATGCTGAGAATGAGTGCGGCCAGTATTTGCATCGTCAAATGGTCAGGACCACCACAAAATATGTTCGGATACTTTGCAATGCTGCTGCGGCCATTGGGATGGCTAAAGCACATGAATGGAACTAGTCCAACATTGCACAAGGTCGTGAACACCACCTGGAGAAAACTCCCTGTCACACCAAGAGTTTTGTGAAAATCCCATGCCATACCTCTCCTTTTGATGCAGGGCAGTTGTGATAGAGATCCCAAGCATGGCCAGCTCAAAGCAATACCCAAAAACAAGAGAACAGTGGCGGTGTACTGCTGCACGTCACCACCAGCTGCGCAGTTGAAGCCCAACGAGCGCAGGTTCAGGATGAACAACGCCGAGAACTGGAATAAGCTTCGAAGCCCTTCAGGCCACGGGACAGACACGGCATTCAACACCCCCAAGTTCTGCATGAAAGCAAGGGTCATGTCAAATCCTATCTTGGCGCATTCTGCCAGAGAGACCTTCAACATGTAGCGAGGGTTGGCGAAATAGTATGTTCCGAAGACCAGAACAAGAACTCCACATATCCCACCAGTCCAAACCGCCATCATCGGGATCCTGAGGGCCGATGGGAAGTCACCCGGTCGGGCACCTCTTTTTCGTTGGCTTGACACATGGCATCATGACACGTCCATCAAAGATTAAGGAAACATTCCAAGGCCAAGTATTGCACAGAATGGGCACGAAAAGGGGAACACTGGATTGACTGCTTGCTCGAGGAGCTATTGCAACCCATACAGCAACTGCATGATATTATGCCAGTGTTGTTTATTCATGTTGTTGTGGTCGTGGTTGTTCTCAATGCTGTGGCCGTGGTTGGTGTTGCGGATGTGTCGCAAACAGTCGGACATTTTGTCGGTCGCTGTCATCATGGCCATTCTTCTGCTGCAGGAGTGTTGGTTCTGTTGCGGTCGTTGTTGTTCCTGGTCTTCCTCGTTCTCTGTTCCTGGTCCTCCTCATTCTCTCCTCCACGTCCTCCTCCACGTCTCCTCTCCTCCTCCTCATCCTACTCCTCCTCCTCCTCCTCCTCGTCCTCCTCCTCCCTGGCTGCTGGCTGGCTGGCTGGTCTGCTGTGGGTGCGTTGGTCAGTTGGTTCCTGGGTGGATGCCGTACCGTAACATGTATATAGATCGTTTTCAAGTGTACAGTACCAACCGGAACCTTTTGCCTTTTGGGTGGGTAAATAATGTTAAAGACTGGTGTTTCTTTTCCACTAGCCGCTAGCCACTAGCATGCACTTCAAGCGAGTCTCCCACAGCTTTGGCAACCATCGCTTGTGCCGTACATGCCGGAAGGACACTCGTCACACGTAGGGCCTAGCCGCCCTCCAACGCAAGTGCCTGGCGTGCCGCCTGCGCAATGGGGTCCAGGGCACTTGTATATTTCTAGCGGTTCCTCTGGCCAACTGAAGTACGATTGCGAAATCTGTGGCCTGTCCTCTCCACTGCCTCCACTGCTCTCCCCATCCAAAAGCAACTTCACGGTGCTTCCACTGGGGCACGTCAATCCTTCTCCACAGGGTACACATTGGCGATTGGATTCAATGAAACCGCTTTTGCAAACACATTCTTCCTTGTCGCTGGCTCCTTTGAGCAATGTGGTGGTGTCGTCCGCGCATGTCACGCAAGCTGCTTTGCCAAAAGCATCTTGATACAGTCCCACTCCACAGGGCGTGCATGCAACACTGCCTTCCGTGGCAGCCACGCTACCTTGGGGAGCATGGTGCATGAGAATGTATGGTGTCTCTTTCTTCCACTCTGCTCCCTCTTAAAGAGCAAGTCTCTCTAATTTTGGGGCAAGTGGTATTTGACTTGACTTGTCGCACGGAGTAACTAGCTACAGTTCTATAGTGATAGACAAATACTTTGAACCTGCTCGTTTTGTTATGACAGTTCTATAGTGACAAACACAATAGTCTTGGACTGCTCTCTAGTTTTGTTTATTATGTTCAATGTTCCCCTCGAAGTGCCAAAATGTTTGTGGTTGTTTTCTGGAAATCAGTCTTTTTCGATGCAAAGCAACCCAGTGCTGTCACAGGTGCTCCACGAGGGAGATCTAGTTTTTTCTTTGCGATGATTTCTAGTGTTCCCTCAACTCGGAAGTTTTCCAGTTACTGTAACGTCCTTTAATGTCCTGCAAAAAACACCGCACCCATCCTCACCCTGAACTATCACACCCCCAACAGCCCACCTGGCTTGCATTCATCACAGTGGGAAGCAGATGCTTTACTCTGGCTGCTGCCAGGTGGACATGGAGTACAACGACGGCTTTGGCCGTCAGAAAGCTCCTCTGAGAAGGTACCTGGTGGGCACACATCACAGCTTACGGCACCTGTCTTGGATGGCAAGAAAGTACCGTGCTCATCGACCACTCCAAAGCCCAAGAAGCAGTTGGTATCAACAGGAATCCACTTGGACCAAATGTGCTCGTGTCTTGTGATCCAGCTGCATGCAGGATCCTGCCAAGCATCCAAAGAAGAAAGTGGCAAAGTGCGAACGTCCTGGAGAATGTCCATCACAGTGTTCAAGTCCATCGACAATTTGGAAATGAAGCTTCGCAAGCGGGGAGATTTCTGGCGCAAATTTGGGCTGGTCAGCTTTGCAATGTAGGTTCCAGATCCAGAGGTCCTTTTGTTTCCCAAAACCCACTCTGAGGCACGGAAAGGTGGGAATACAATGGATTCTGGTTGGAGTTCAAGAAATGTCGTGTCAGGAACCCACCAATAGAAGAGGGATCGAGTCGTTTTCACAGTTCTGGACCAATCAGCAAAGCTTGGAATGATCCCGACCGCGGCAGGGATTCCATAGGCTGTTGACCACTGCAGCAACGGTTGAAGAAACCATCCATTGGAAGCTGTGACCAAAGGGATGCAGGCCATCACATCATGTCGACATGAAGGCGCCAGCCACCAGTAACCCCCCGGGCCGGAGCATTTGCCAATGTAAGTCCCATCAAGCTGCAGTGTTACTCCATCAATATCACCTGTCCAACGGTAGTAGTTGCCCATGTGCTCTGTGTTCATGAATGAAGTGCCATCAGCGCAGGAGATCATATCCGAGACATTGAGATCGGAGATGGATGTGAAGTATCTCTTTGTGTCATGATGAGTGGTATTGTAGCTGAGGTAGAAGTTCAAAGCCAACCCCTCTGAATCGTAGGCCTCTTGAAATGCAGATTGGGTCACATACATGGTTTCGAATCCACGATAGCCCATTCCACCCATATCTTCCGGAGCTAGAGATGGGTACATCTTTTGGAAAGCTGTTTGTTCTGACACAGCAACTCCAACCCAAGCATCGAGAGCTACATGTATCTGCGTCTCCTGCAGGCCACATTTCTTTTGTCCCAAGTCTGCATGGTTGAAGTCCACGCATCCACCAACGGCAAAAATCGCTCCTGCTGAATTCGCCATCATCTCCGAGTGCAACTTGGCATGTAGACCTAGGACCTCAGTCACGAGAATCTCAGCAATCTTGGTCACGGCGAAGTTACTCTGCCAAGGGCCCAGGAGTAGGCCAACTGACATATTCTCCAAAGCATCGGTTTGAAGATATTGTCGTGCGTGCTCGGGAGTTCCATTGGCCAAACAAAGTGCTATGACTTGTCGCGCATGGAACAAGGAGACAATGAGGAATGTGAGGCAGAACATGATTTGAGCCGTGAACACACTGTGGCTGCGGAAAGAAGCTTCTGAATCTTGCCAAAGAAGCTATGTTTTCATGAAAGCTGTGTTCAAAGTACGTCGAACTTCGGTCCAGTGCGAAGCATCCGATTAGACCATCCCTTTTTGGCACGCTCGTCAGCGTCGCTCGTCAGCGCCACTTCGAAGGTGGAGGGAATGCACCATCCTCGCGAGAAAACTGCGGCGGTTTAGACGAGAGCCATTCCATGATGCTTTTAGAAATGGCCCTGTCGTGCAAAGCGTTCGGCCCTGCGAGTCTACTTGTCTTGTGTCGCCCACTGCGTCGCCCCCTGGAGGCAGCATCTCCTTGGCAAAGACCACTTTCCGACGATCATGGCTCAAGTACCTGACGCGATCGTCGGATCGGCTCCTGATCCTGGGAACGCCACTGGAGACCATGCAGAAGACTGCAGTTGTGTGTTGTTCAAGAATACAAGGGATGACCAGGGGACTCGAGAACCTTCTCTTAGATTCTTACCTCTTTGTTTTTCCTGTGAAGCCATACGTGTAGCCACATGATGTGGGAAGTGTAAAGCTCAGGGAGCTCCCCCTCGGGGCACCCCTTGATGGCACCATTGTAGATCAGCGTTGCCAAGCATGCTGCCTGTGCACACTAAAGAGAACAGCCATGCCATGCCACATAGAGTTGCCAGACTCAAAAGCCTGATCCCTCCCAAATGCTTCACCATGCTTCACCTCCTCTAAGAACCATCTCGAACAAACTCGGACGCTCCAAATACCGGAATGTCTAGAAGGGCCCTTCCACACATCCACAATTCGCATCCTGGCTCCTTACTATTGAAGTGGAGAAGTTTGGATCCTGTTCTTTGGCGTCAGTATATAGCAAGAGTTGTGAGCCATTCAACGCCTCCGTCATAGAATAGTTGGGTGAGGGTCAAGTACTCCAGCTGAACCACCGACCAGTACTGTGATACCGAAAAGGGATTTCACAGTGGGAATCTTTCGCACTTTTTGGGATGCTGCAATTTCAGGCAATCGAAGAGGAGATCAAAGAAATGAAAGCTTCCAGACCACCCAAGTCCCAGCCCGACCCGTCTTGATGGGGCCGTCTCGGATCGCCGACCCGTCGACCCGAGCCGTCTCGTCGGCATCACAGCCGTCTTGCCACCCGAAGACATGTTCGAACCTCGGAGCTGTGTCCAGTCCTCTCCACAGCGTCCGAGGCCAGTTTCGCTCCGTTCGTAGCGATGCCAGTTTCGCTCCGTTGGTAGCGTCCGATCGCTCCGTTCGTAAGGCCGGCGAACATTGTTCCTAAATATCTCTACTTCACCACTGCCCACAGAGCTGCGAACGGGGTAAAATCCAGCTTGTCACTCTTGTCTGCCAACCTGCGACGGGCAAGTGCTGCGACACTAGACTAGTAAAGAAAAACACAAGAAGACAGCGGTGTTCCAAGCTCCTTGCATTATAAACCAAACTAAATGCAAATGTCAAATAAAGCGCGCTTGCCCTAGTACTATGCGCAGGCTTGACTAGGGTAGATGGCGGAGGGCACCTGTTGCTTGCGTGAACTCAGCACAAAAAGAACGGTGTTTCCGTGCGTGCAATGGCCAACTTCCAAATTTGAGGATGGATCATTGAACAAGCACACTCAAAGTTCAGCCCAAAACTCTTCAACAAAAAAAAAGAACAATCAAAAAGAATAGACTACCACGTGAACAACATTGAACAGCCATATCATCTATGTTCATTCATGCAGTCACTGATCCATAGCTTGCACAAGAATGCGGGAAACAAATGCTTGCGCACATTTCCTTGCACCAGGGTTACAAAAGGCGTGCACACCATGTGCCCAAGATATCCCAAAATATGGTATTTCCCTGAAGGGCTCCATTGCTTTGCCGCGCTTGAACACGGCTCAACTGTCCGGTTCATCATGGCAAGGATCCAAGGGAAGGTCCAAAGTTCTTACACCAGGCCAGCCCTTTGCCTTCCCTGACCAGTCCTGTGCCTTCCCTGAACCTCCAAGAAGATGCCTTTGGTGAGGTTCCGCAAGACCTTGGCCATTGGCTAGCCATTGGCTAGCGATTAGCTAGCTTGGCACACTTGGATACATTGACATCAGAGCTACGATGCGAGCGACATGCAACTGCGCAGCAAAACCAGTCAAGTGTAAGGTCTCCAGCCATAAACTTCAGCCTCATCATGAGCAGGTAGGTCCCCATCTTGATGAGATCCTTGGAATCCGAAGTTTGAAGTGTTTGGAATGCTGTGTCTGTGTCTCTGCGTCCATGGTTGTGCGGGGGAACTGAGAGCTTCATGATCACAAAGCAAGGCACTGGCCATACATACCGACCTTCCAAGAGGCGTAGTAGCAAGACGGTTGTATGAACTGACGAACCCACCGGGGTCGCCTGCGCAGGGGCTCTATGATTGGTTTTTCTTGATATTTAAGAACCTCCCAGTAGTCAAAAGCACAAGTGGGCTGCACAGACAGGAGTTTCCAAGGAAAAAAATGCAAATCCAAACTACCAATATGCCCGTCATACCTTGCTCAAACACAATAAAGGTTTTGGAGGGTTTGTCTTGGCTGAGACGCCGACGGCTGAAAGCTCTTGCATCTTGCTGTTGAAGAGCTGGACATTGCCCTTCACAGACCAATTTGCCAGACTGTGCCTGTGCCCTTCACAATCTCTCAGTGCTTTGTTTGGTGTGCTCTGGTTTTGGTATTGCTTATTCACTCCTCCTAAGACTTAGAGGCCTGCAAGGTCCTCAAGTCGAGCGTGCAGAATCAATCGCCTCCTTGATGGCCTTTACCACATCCACGAAGACATCCAAGTCGTACTTGTGCAACAACTCCTTCGCACACGAAAGGTAGATACATAGCTGCTTTCGCTATTCTCAGCGTCCCTCTGCTCGTTTGTAACCCCATAGTGACTTAGACATGCCGAGGTGGTGCTCCTGGGTCGGTAGAACCCCGAGGCGTAGCTTGCAAGGCACCAAATACAGCCTGGCTCCAGAAATCCAAAATGTTCATGTTTGACTTGCAAATTCCACCGTTAGAAAACCACCTGATCTATATGCCTGCCCAAAAACATGCCAGCTGGTCAAGATTCTCCGACGGTTGGCAATGGCCCTGGAAGATACAAGTCTTGCGTCAATGTTTCTTCGCTGTCAAAGGCACCTTGACACCCTCCACAGTAGCTAGCTAGGTATCTACGCACTAAGACAGGCGTGCTCTCAAATTGGAGGGCCCTACCGTTAGGAGTTCACTGCTTGCAAAGCTGTGTTTTGCTTGTGCGGATGGAGATGGAGGCGAATCGTTCAGGCGAGGCTCTTTCATGTTCACGAACCTGCATCGACCACCCTTCCAACAAAAATCCAACAGATTGGACGAAACAAGGTGGAGGTCTACTTCACAACCATCCCTCCCTCCCTCCGTCCAATCTACCCAGTCTTCCCCCATCCATCGTGGCCAAGGCACTTCTCTGGGCAATTGTTGAAGGCCCAGGTGAGCTTCTCATCTGCTCCTTGCAAATTGTGCTCAAAGACCTCAGTCATACAGGTCAGGCACACATGTCACAGAAGCTTGATCAGTGAAAATGACCAAAATGCTTTGAAATTGGCAAGGCTCCAACTGGCAGCGAACTATAGCGAACTTACATCTACAAAACCTTTGCCACTCAGCTCCAAGCCAAATATTTTCCCCAGAAGAAGTAAAAGGTTACCTCGGCTTGAACCAAAAGAGGACAACCCCTTGGCTGCCGGTCCATAAAATGAGACCATGCTTGCTATGGAACAAACAAACATTGCACCCACCACACACAGTCAAGAAACTGTCTCAAGGGTTTGAGAAAATAGGAAAAACCGAAAGAGGCGACTGAGCCAACCGTTCTAAGTTTCAACATCGTTTCACAACTTCAGTAGCGAAATTGTATCGCGTTACTTCACTTTCAACATCATATCTCATTCTGAGTTTCAACATCTTTCAGAGGTTTCTTCAGTAATTGACGAGATTGTGAAGACCGATACGATCTAAATCCAAAACACCTGGGGAACCAGATCTCCAATTGGCAGAACTCAATTACAAGTGTCAACTAAGTGGTTCTTTTAACGCCTGCCATCTGTCGTTCCCGGCGCAAATCGCCTTTGGCAGGTCGGTTGGAGAAAACCCATCCTGAGCCACACGGCACGCAGAACATGGCACATGTGCCGTGTTCTGCGTGCTCGGTGATGAAAGTCCCCGTGAGCGGACGCCGGTGAACCCCGAAGCTTCTGTCTTCCACGAGGCACCAGTCATCGACAAGAGGACAATGGTGTCGGCTGTCACAGGGTGCGTCTCACCATTCCTCGCAGGCCCAGGCCTTCTGCATGGATTGCGACACCGTGGTGAGCGTGAAGGAGCACTGGGACACTTGCCTGAGATTCCAGAGATGAATAGATGTCTTTTTGTGACAAACGGTGACCCGAATGAGGGGAGGTTGGGGCAGCCAGGCAGGGAGTGATCTTTTTGGGATTGAATCGGCATAGAGCTGGGACTTGAAACTGCATCTGACACTCGTGATCAAAGGCAAAGGTACTTATATAGTGTGAGTTCACAGAGCAAAAGGCCCTGGGGCCCTGGACTGCAACTTGAAGTAGGCACGCAGCAATTCACAACCTCAACTCAGATCAACTCAGAAGCTTCGCACGACTGACTTAGCGACTTTGCATGCCTTTTGGTCAGCAAAAAAATAACTTAGACTTGAACTAAACCCCATGCAAAAGTCTTCCTGAAATCAACTGTCGCTGTCCAATCCTTTCGTTGTGGCACCGAAGGCTTCCACGTCTGGCCCTTCTGCATCAAAGCACGAAGCCAGGTCTCGGGCAAATCCACACGTGTCCAGCCCGTTTGGCACGCTCCTGACACCAGCTGAAGCCACTCCAACACCCCAGCAGTCACTCTGTCCCAGAGATTTGTAGATACAATTATATTATACTGCACAAAGATGTATGCCAACAAGATC